TTCAGTGGTATAGTCATATAGGTGTATTGACCAAGAAATCTATAAAAAGTGCCGTTATCCAATGAAATGCTCAAATCAACTACACCAACAAATTCAGACATTGGTGCAATACAACGCGCAAGAAAAGGATTCAGAATAAGTCCATCTACTGTCCCATAAGAGCCAAATTGACATTTTACGAAGTTGTTCATCGAAAAACAGGGTCCTTGAATATTAATTGATGTACCACCGAGCTGACTTCCACGAATCGGTAAGTAAGAATATTTAGTATTGTTTGCAGTTGCATCGCCTTCACAGCCTCCAGCTTCGATATCAAATGTATCAATACGAAATACAAATAGGCCTGGCACATTGACATTCGATTCATTGACCAACTTGACGATATCTGCTGTTCTTGAGTGTGGTAGCATTTTGTAAGTCGATATAACAATGACAAAGGCGGATGCTTCTCTAAGGATTCGTCAGATAATTGAATTAGAAACTGGAGTAACTCCGCATTTAGGTCATCAATCTATAACAATTGATCTTAATCGAGCTAGAGCAAGACAAACAAGATTGGCGTTTCTACCATTGGCAGTTGGATTCTTACGTTTTTCAGTATATGCTGTAGTTACTGTAACAACAAACATTTTGATTTGGAAGGAAGAAATCGCTTATGCAGGTTGTAATAAGTGGAGCGCTGCGCAGCTAGTACCTACTACTTGGAATCAAGATCTTTTACCATGTCCATATACACGGACTCAAGCCACTGTTGCAGATTGCTGTTTTGCACTTGATAAGGCTTGTAAATTAGGTGAAAGTTGTTGGTTTCATCAAGGTAGACCACAATTTCAGGAAGAAAGTGCAGTTGAATGCTATAGATCGAAAGGCACAAATTCATATGGTGCAGGAGGGCAATGTTGTTATGGTCAAAATGGACAGTTGATTACAACAGGCACCGGTGCGGGAAGTGACGATCGTTATCATAGTAGTCATTATATTTTTAAACATTTCTTCCATGATGTTTTGCCATTTATTGGATGTTGTAAAGTTTCACGAGATCCAGAAATGTGTGATACATATCTTCGTCACCGACCACCGAGACGTGGTAGTAACACTAACCCACAAAATGGTGGTGCATGGGGAGATCCACATTACCAAACGTTAGATGGACTAGCTTATACATTCAATGGCTACGGAGAATATACATACTTAGCTATTCTTGAACATGACACGGCTACATTACAAGAGATCACAGCTGCATTTGATTCAACTCTGAACTATACGTTTATGTCACAAGTCAGAACAGCTCCACTAGTAGAGACAGGAAATAAAGTTACAGTTACAAAAGCATTCGCTGCAAAATCAAATACTTTAGGCTCTCAGCCGATACGTATGGTTGTAAGTCGACGTGAACATCTTCTTGTCTATCGTGGCAATGAAATGCTTGATTTAGAACCTAATCTTGACTCGGTAAATTCAAATCAAACAATTCTTCTGACATTTTCTGATGTTACGATTGAAAAAGAACCAGTGAAAAAAACTATTACTTTGACATGGCCAATAGGAGTTAGTGTTAAGGTTTCATTAGTTAACATAGTTTCACCGGCGGCTGCAGTAGTATTGAACATTGGTGCATCTCTTTCAAGTGCCTTTCAAGGGAGAACATATGGTTTATTAGGTAATTATGATGGAAATTCTGCAAATGATCTTAGAAACAAGAATGGCCAAGTAATTTCTAGTAACAGCACAACGGAACAAATTCATAGACAATTCGGAACGACTTGGGATATTGACCCGACTAAATCAATGATGTACTATGAACAGAATGAGACTCCTTTGTTCTATTCTCAACAGAATGTCAATTATACACCACTGTTCTCTCTTCCCCGTCCATCAAATGACAATCTTGCACGTCAAATTTGTCATATTGGTCCAGAATCAGAGAGTTCAACGTGGACAACGGCGCAGTGGACTTGCTTTTTCGATTTGACTGTTACAAATGATCAAGCACTCGCTCAATCCTCTTTCGTAGCTAGTCAAGAACTTCATGTGACGATGTCAAGTTATATTTATCGTCTTGAGCTCTCACACGAACTGAAGTACGATCTTTTTCAAATGTTTTCGGCACTTGCCACTCAAAGATGCCAGTTGCCCTATTGAATGTTGAACCTGATGGAGATCTCTCTGCCTCATACTGTATAGTTTCACTAAATTCACTAATTGCTTTAAAATGGATATTAACTTTGGTTCCTATCGTAAC